GGCAACTCCAGAGTGGAAGTACGTCCAGCCCCTCTCAAGGAGACTGGTTCCAGAGAGCGAGAAAAGAAAAATACGAGTGGTTTTGAGTTGTTATTGAACTGTTTTTCTGCAGTTTTTTCCCTTTTCTGTGGCGCATTGCACTAATAATACCTACACCTTCAGGTTTCATGTAGTTGTTCCACTGCGGCAGCGCGGCTACAGATGAAAAGTAAAAGAATCAACTAAAATGTATGGATGTAAACAGTAACATGCAACATGTCTAACGGATACAGTGTGCGTCACATAGTGATGGAGTTGCTGAAATAAACAGGGAAGTCCTGATGACTGTGTTGCACATGGGGACCAGACAGACATGGATGTGAGGAGCAGTTTGCCCCGTTGCTGAAGGCGTTTCGACAGCATCGCCACGCTGCAGCCCAGTCAGCAAACAGGCAGCAGAAAACAAAAGTAGAGGCTTCACAGCAAAGTGTGATGGACTTGGGGCAATTACACCTAATTGGGTCTGACTGGTTCCCTTTTGCTCCTCAGTTGAGGGTGACTTGGCTGGAAGTCGGGATCAGAGTGATGCCATTGCTCCTGGCGTCTGGTGAACTCGCACTAAGCACTTTTTATTCGCTTGGTTTCTTCTTGACCAACCGTCAGACTCGCAGGGAACCGCCTCAGTGCTTCACAGTTAGCGCTGCCGCCGCCATGCAAACGGCAAAGAAAGTAGGATCTAAAACCACCGCTGCTCAAAGGACGAAAACATAATCTAATATGGTGATTTTTTTTGCATTTGTATGAGATGAAAAATGAGTATTCCCTGTGTGCAGCTGACTTGTAGTAATGTTTCTAATTTTGCTGCTCCTCAGACTAATAAGCTTGTCCTGTAATCGTGTTAGCTGCCCTGTCGGCCCCAGCCAGGGGACCTAATTGGGACAGAGCCTTGGACAAAGTGAAAATTATTAACTTTTGTCAAGCTCCTGGTGCGCTGTGTTATAAAGCAGTGCAGGTCAATTAGGACGCGTGATGCGATAAGGTCCGGGCAGCAGAGGCGCGCTGACTCGATTAGGACGGGGACTGGACGGGTGAACCCGGAGTCAAACTATGAGGCTGACGGAGATTTCATCCCGAAAGTGCGGCTTAACAAGCTGCAGAAATGCTCCGTTATTTATCGTCCTCTGTGCGTTCCGGTTACAGATCCACTGGAGACACTTAGGAGCTCATCACGGTTATCTTCACTTTTACTTTTTGTCTCATAATTCTGATTCGTCATGAGAAATCTGGGTGTTTTTTTCTTAGAAAGCCAAGAAGAAAACCTAGAAATTCAACTTTTTTTTCTCCAAATTTGGCTGTGATTTTTCAGATTTTAGACATTTTTGTTAGAATAAGCTCATATTTTGGAATTTCTTGTCAGATTTTAATCATAATTCTGAATTCAGACTTTAATTTGGCCTTTAATCTCTGAATTCTTACTTTTTTGTCTTTTCTTCCTCAGAAATCTGACTTTCTTTAGAATATTGACTTTTTGTGAGAATTCTGGGTTAATTTAGACTTTTTTCAGAATGAGTTAGATTTTATCCCCAAAGTGCAGATGAACAAGCTGCAGAAATGCTACGTTTGTTGCACTTATTGTCTTCCATATGCTAAGAGAACATGACATGATCACACAGATCCAGTGGAGACATTTATTATCTGAGCATATTTCCAGTCGTAGCTTTGATCAGCCAGCGTGGCGGCATGTTGATGTGACGCCTGAAGCTTGTACCACTAATGCTCATCTAAGGGACCCAGTGAAGCCCTTAATGGTTATAATGGGGACCTAAATGCCAAACTGGAAAGCTGTTGCTGCCTTTGCTTCCCTCTGTTGTTCCTCCCTGATGAGAAAGAAGAGAGGTCCCGGCTGCAGCAGTTTCTACTGTTTATCACTTATTAAAAGACGGGGAAGTGCTTGGATCTGATGTGAGCGTTTAGTTTCTCCCCTGTTCAGCATGTGCTAATAATTCATGACTGACACAGCACATGTGATTTAATTATCAGCTTTTCTTTGTGTCAATATTGGCAGCGGAAACCCGACGGCTGAGCAGCAGAGAGGCCGCGGCTGCACACGGTTTCCTCCTGAGAGGAAAAACACGATTATCTTTGATACGACATGTTGTCCCTGTGTTTACTTTGATTACCTGCAGCTCCACATGCTCTCACTCTGTAATTATGCTGCTACGCAGATACACACACAGGGCCTCCATGTTGCAATGCAGTTAGGATTTTTTAATAACAATTCTGACTTCAATCTGGGAAATATGCTTTTTCCTCCTCAGAATTCAGACTTTAATCTCATAATCTATCTAAATTTTGTCTTTTTTTCCTCAAAATTCTGAGAAAAAAGACACAATCTTTACTTTCTCTAGTATTTCGATGTTCCAAGATTTCAGTTTTTCTCATAATTCTGAGGTTAATTTTGGAATTCTTGTTTTTTCTTTTCAGAATTTGTATTTTTCAATAGAATTCTTACTTTTTTCAGAATTATCTTTTTTCTGTCAGAAGTTGGATTTTAATTTCAGAATGTCTTTAATCCTAGAGTTCCTGCTTTTCTGATAATTCTTAATTTATTTTGGGAATTACAGTTTTTCTCTCAGAAATCTGAGTTTGGGTCAAATTTCTGGGGGTGTGGAATTTCTCAAAACTTTATTGTTAGAATTGCGAGTGGTGGGATCTGAACTGGTTTTAGGCAAAATATTGTAAAACTAAACAAATTTACACAAAAATGCAAAAATCTTGCCCAGAAAGATGAACGGTCTCGATATAAAGACAGTTTATCAGTGAGTAGCTGCTTTTTAAACAGAAACGAAGGATTCTGGTTTTGCATGTTGTGAATTTGTTTGTTTCGCTGCTTAACGAGGAAACAATCCGACCCAGAGCCTAATCTTACTGTCTTGTTGATGATTTAACGGTGTAAATTGTTGTTAAGCCTTTTGTTTGTTTTTTGCTTGCTGGTGTCCGTGGCGGAGGCACAGCTGCAGCACCTTTTTCGGCAGCATGAAACTGATCGAATAGCCAGAACCCGGCCATATAACGTGATACGGCTTGCATCACGCTGTAACATGAGGCAGATGTCTCAATCTGTACTTTCCAAGCTTCCCAATTGCCGGCAATTCAATCTTGGGCTGAATCTGTGTGTAACCCAGTAAGCGGTCCCTACTGTCGCCACATTATTCACAGTTCCTCTTGGTGAAACCTTCACATCCCCTCCGCACAGGTAATCCTCACAAATGGGGCTTTAATGCTATTGGCGGTGCCATCCTACATTCCCTCACTTTGTCATCACTTTCCCTCTGCCTTAAACACATTTCTTGACTTTAAGCAGCACTTTATTGTGGTGTGTTATTTTGTTGAATTGGATTAAACGAACAGTAACTGGGAATCCATTTGAACCTGATCCTTGCTCAGCCGACTCCATTAACTGTCATCCTTGTCCAGAATCGTCCGGCGCGATGGTTGATGCACCGTCAATAACCTTACAGAGAGAACTGCAAAGTCTTTAAAAAGTAAAACCTTATATTTTATGTCTTCCCGCCGAGGCAACAGATCAAATCAGCTACAGCGCTAACAGGTTTAAACGGATGAGACGCAACCAGACTCCCCAGAATGGGACCACGGCGCTTTCAAAGTGGTCTCATCTACGAAGTTAGACCTGGAGACGCAGACGCCGGTGCTGGATTATTCGCACATTAACGACTTTTTATTGGAGCTTTCGGACCCGGCCGCCCTCCCTGCGCTTCTCATATCTCCATCTGTGAACATCTCTCAGCTGAGCCGAGCTTTCAGAGGCGAGAAGCGGGAGTTTCTCTGTCGGTTCGGAAGAGAAAGACGCACAAGAGGAACAGCGACACTGAATCAAAAAATAAAATAAAAAATCTCTGAAATCTCACTTTAATCTCAAAATTTGTGTGTTTTTTCTCAGAATTCTGAATTTTTCTTCATAATTCTCACTTTTTATGAAAATTAATCTTGGATTTTGAAATTTTTCTCAGATTTCTGAGATGAAGAATTCTGACTTTTTAATCAAAATTCTGCCTTTTTTCTCAGATTTCAAACTTTTTGTGAGAATTAATCCCAGATTTTGGATTTTTTCTCAAATTTCTAATTTTGATCTCAGAATTTTGACTTTTTCTCTAAGAATTGAGAGAATTTTTGTGAGAATACAGTATTTTTTTCTTCAGCTTTCTGACTTTAGTTCCAGAATTGTATCTTTTGTTTCTCAGATTTCAGACTTTTTGGGGAGAATAATCTCAGAGGTTGGACTTTCTGAGATTAATCTAAAAATTCTGATACTAGAGTTGGAATCCTTAGGTTTTTGTAAGGATTCTGTTTTTTTCTCATAAATTTGACTTCTTTCACAGATTTCAGACTTTAATCTCAGAATACAGATTTTTTCCTTATAATTCTGACTCTTTATTCATAATTTCCTGTAGGTCAGATGAACATCTGGGTGGACTCGTTTTGCTCTTAGTGAAAATCATCTTCAGGGACCCTGGGAAACGGATAAACTGGCTTAAATCCAACATGTTCCTCCAGAAAGTTTGCCGTTCTCCTCCATGTTGGCCACTGAAGCCGTTTCCTCCCAGGTCTGCTTTAAAGTCAATTCTGAGATTAAGGTTGGGATTATTTTAATTCTTTCAGGGGCCCTAATCCTCCTCCGCAGGAAGAGGACACCGGGGCCCTGAGCTGCTCCTCAGATTTATTGAAACTTCATGTCCTGTCCCAATAGCTCATTTGTCAGGAGACCTAATTTACGCTGGCCCATAAGACTAATTGCAAATTTGCGGGAAAAATGCTGATGTCGCTGGAACGGAGCAGAGCTTTTTTACATCCCCACCGCCTCGCCTCCTCCGCCTCTGCTGTCCCTCGCTGTGCATTCGCTAATGCGTTTCATCTGTGGAGCATAAAACAGACACCGTCTCTTTTCCTGTGATGTAGTGAGACTCTCTGGCTGTGCGCTGCAGAGATTAACCCCTCGTGGGACAGTGAGCAAACTGGAAATTGCGACAAAAACCCAAACCGTTCTCGCTGTGTAGTTGGACTGATCGTCGCTCTTTGTCAGATTCTTGAGGCCAGGAAACCCAAAACAGCAGCCAACGTTGACAACTGGCAGACATTGCATGACAATTAGATGTACAATTAGCCCAGCCACTGGGTGTCTTTATGTGCAGATGGCGATTGCTCCTAACGAGAGGATTGTTACAGAGATCTGTTGGTTTCTTTTCAGTTTGTCTTGTGGTAGACAACTTTGTTTTTCATTGTTTCTGCATTACGTTTTGAAATCAGTCAGTACTGAGATGCTTGCATGGTCTCATTAAAATACAAACAAAACATGGTGACAGTAATTTTAAGTCGACTATGTAGCCTGGTGTCGCAGTTCAATCCCATTTCAACTTGTCCCAAGAAATAAAAGTTTATTTCAAATCCAGAACTGACAAAACAGTCTGAGAATAATTTTCTCTACACCGACATTTAATTTCTATTTCCATTTGATATGTTCAATACAGGTGTGAGATTCTTTCTTTTTAAACATGTTCTGCCTGGCAGTGTGGCACTCTGAGTTGTTGTCTGAGTGTTAACGTGAAGCCCAACTGATTAACATTCACAAGTGGAGAGTTACGGTAAGTTACCACCGTATATCTTTGAAAAGCAGACACGGAGCCTCCTGCACAACCATCAAGAATGCAGCAAGTGGTGTCTGGATGGGGAATTAACAACAAAACACTTGTCTTTTCCAGCAGCCATTGTACAGCGCAGACAGCAGTACAACCAGCTGACCAAACGTACTGGAGCTCAGCTTGTGTTGCTAGGTAATGGATGGAACTCTTCTGGGGTTGCTAGGTAATGGATGGAACTCTGCTGGGGTTGCTAGGTAACGGGCAGTTATTACTCTTTCAGAGGGCAAACATGCGTAATGGCACTTTACATCAGTTAAAAATGGTTTCAAAACAGTGGTGTTGTCATTTACCGCAGTAATTTCTGGGACAATTTATTGTGACAGTCCTACTACCTTCTGTTGGTTTTTTCTTGATTTTTTTGGCTTGGGTAAAATCTTGAAAAGGTTAAAAGTTACAGAAATAAAAATCATTTAAAAACAAGGTGAATTTAGTGGCAACTGCAGACCAAGATGTGATTATCTGGAAACAATCTAAGAGATTGTAACAGGAAGGCAGATTTTGTAACAGCAGATCAGAAACGTAGCAAATATTCCTGTTACTGCAGCAAAAATCTCACAAAACTCTGACCCTGACTTTACAAAGGTTTGGGGAAACGTTTAATCTCTGCAGACCGGATTCCTGCGGTTTTTTATTCAAAATCAACCATTAATATTTCATGCAGTCAAAATATCAGTGTGCTGTTAAACCCAGATCATGGTTTCACCCTAACCAGTACATTACTTTTAATGCGTCCGTCCTCCAACAATAACGTTTATGCACTTAAGAGGGTGTGAAGTATTTTGGGTAAAATGTTGCGGATGTGATGTGGTGCAGATTCGACGGTTCTGGCCAGATATGAAGGCTCGGCATGCGCGGCTTGATTTGAGGAATAATATGCAGCCGCATGTCTCAATCATGGGATCTCCACCCTTCGTCAAGGCTTTGACACATTCGGCAGACTTCGTGGTTGTTTTCTCATGCTAGCTGACAGGTTCTTGTCGAGGGGAATGTGTGTCAGGAAGTCTCCTCCGCACATGTGCACGCTATTTAAGGTGAAATAAAAATTTTTGATCTCTGGTTTTCACGTAATTTTGTTCCGTCTCTTGAGTATTGATTCTTGGTGCTTGGAGAGAGTCCTTTAACTTTTGATGAAACGGTTTGGCAGTCTCACACAGCGCAGGGGAAGAAAGAAGAAGAAAAAAAACTTCAGGGGGATTTTAGAGGTTGAGCAATTATATGATTATGAAAAGCATTATATGGCAAAAAGAACAACATCGTGTAATTGGCTTGGCGTGTTAGTGCTGACGAGTGCCAGATGTAGAAACGTGTGCACGTCTGTCAACGTAATGGCTAACACCTTGACCGCATTGGAGCATGAGGCTTGCACCATGTGGGATGAAGCAGCCATAAAATCCAGCGCAAGCTATTTGTTAGCATCAGACGTTCCAATTTGATTGGTAAAATTCACACTGTAATTGGCTTATAAAGCATTGTTGGAGCCAGAACAATGAGCTGGAGGGGTAGAGCTGTGCCAGGTCGCCCAGCGATTCACAACATCCCCCCCTTCTGGGCATGCCTGGTTTCCTCCGCAGCTACAGGTTCCTCTCTGCAGCTCGGTTTAAGAGCCGGCCGGGATGTTCGGAAGGGATTTAATTGTAATGGAGGTGGGGGTTTCTGGACCTCCCACGCTCGGGTTCAACCAGGGAGCTACAGCTTTTCTCTTTCGCCTCACCTGATCTCTGCCTTACTTTTTCCTGCTTCCATGTGTCGCACTGCAAAAACACAGAACCATACTAATTTAAATTCTACTCCAAATGCACCTGAAGTGAGGTAAAGCTGACTTACAGGTAACTTTTCAGCAAGAAATGGGAGATTACTTTGAGTAAATAATTCCTTAATATTGGTAAAAAATAAAATAAATTTTTAAGTAAATAAGTCTTTGATATTGATGAAAAGCAATCAATGGCAGATTATTTCACTAATAACGAGGGGAAAATGTCTTGTTATAAGTGAAATAATCTGCCAGTGGAACTACAGCTTTTTAAAATCAATATTAAGGAATTACTGACTTAAAACAAGCTCCCTGAAAATTTGCTTGTAATTTTAGTTTTGTCTGATTTCAGATGTACTAAGATATTTGGAGTAGAAACTAGACCAAACCTACTCGGTAAGGTCTCGTGTTTTTGCAGTGCAGAAAGGCTTTTTTAACCAAATGCACCTTTCTCCTCCACCTTGCCTCTTAGCGAAGACAACACATGCGGCTAGAAAGCCCACACATAGGGAACACATTTAGCCAGGCAAGCGGCCAGTGGACCACATTCCTGTGGACCTGCTGGGGGAAAGAACAGCAGAACACATTTTACACGTAAATATTGAGAATTGGATATGGCACATTCCCCCTCCTTTCTTTCTTTGCCCTCTTTTCTCCTTTCTGGTTCTCATCCCCTTCTCTCAAATCAGTCTCCTATGTTTGAGCCATGATGGCCGAGAAAAACCCCCTAAAAAAATCAAAGCGTGGTTGGACTTTGATTTGAATTGCATCAGCGATGCAGATTTCTGATGCCTCCTGGTCAGAGAGGGCAGCCAGCTTTACCTCATGGCTCAGATATTTGCGGGTAAATCAGCGTGCTCAGCGCTCCCCTCTGTGGAACAATCATGTGTTCTGTTTAATTTGGTTTATTAATGTTTGTTTGCAGTTCTGGTGAGAAGTTTACATCCACTCATCACGGCCTCCAATGCTGGGTTAATTACTGCTGTTCTCCTGCTGCGGTGCAGTTACACCACATGCAACTCCAATTAATAATTAGAAATGAGAATTAGGTGCACAATAACCAGTCTGGCTTATACACACAGGGTCAGATATATACATACACCCAGGCCTGCCACAATAAATTAATCGCAAATTAAAATGAACCCAATAATTTCCATTTGCATGATTTATTGTTTTCTCTTTTCTTTACCAAAAGTTTTCAGTCTGCTGCTTCAGTCCCAACCTTTTTATGAAGGACAATTATGTTCACAGAGAATTCATCATTCATTTTATTGGTTATTTCCTTTATTGTGTTTATTTATTTTGGATATTTAAAACGTCTCCAGTTCCAGTGTTAAATGTTCATTGGAATTAGTCACCATAGATGATAAATTGTCCAAGATGTTATTGAATGAAATGATAATATTGTTGTTTTGAGACCATTTTTAAGTAATATTTCATAATAACAAAAATGCCATCTAT